TCCCTCATGGCCGACTGTGGTTCAAGTCCTGGTGGCTTGCTTTTTCACTTTCCCTCTCTCTCTGTTGCTCTGGGGTCAAATTGAAAAAAATAATAATGATGATGAATAAAATTAAATAATTCCTTTTTTAAAAAAAAAGTTAAAAAAATAAAAAAGAACGGAAGAGAAAAGAGGAAGAGTTGAACGATGGAAAGCGGCTATTGATATGGAAGCAAGGGTCAGGGCCGTTCAAGCCCAAAACAGATTTTCTGGAATTTAATACAACAAACACTAGTTATTTAGACTCCCGCTCTTAGAGAGACCTGGGACACATGCACGCCCCTCCCTGGGCATACCTGGGGGCCAGGGCAGGTAGCCGGGGCAGGGGCAGGGCAAGCCCTATTCCATCCTGGGTTACCACTCAAACTAGACTAGAAGCTTCCCAAAGACAGGGATGGAAGGAAATAGGCTTACACAGAAACCCACCCCCAAAGTAAGTGTGGGGCCACTTGCTCCACAGTCTTTAATTATTGGGTTGTCAGAGAAAAGTCGTGAGGCATTTTTGCATAGAAAAACATGACTTTACCCATGATCCAATAGTATGGCCCCTCGATTGATTCAGCCAAATTCCAAGAGTTTCCCTGATCATGGTACTTATGAAGGTGGGTCACGGTAATTCATTTCATTAAAAAAAAAATGTCCATGCGCAGCCCAAGGTGGCTCATGTGATAGGAAAGTGATAGAAATCCTTCAGATTTCCTAAGTCTCTGCGTATGCCCTGCTCTGGGGCGGGCTGTCAATTAACAGAAACCATAGGGAAGGTGTCGAGGCAGGGACACTGATCATCCAAACCAGGCGGAAACTCTGAGGGCCTCGGGGTGGGGAGGGCGTATTTTCCTGCCATGCAGTGACGAATTTCAATCACTACTGCCTTGTGCCAGATTCAAATTGGCAACCCGCCGAGATGAAACGCTTTCTATCCCATTACTCATGCCTGGAGTGATCTGCTCCCTTGAAGACTGGCTTCCTAGGTGAAAGCCAGGGAATGGACGGTCACTCTAAGATGCTTTAAATAGGATAAAAGGTATAAAAGGCAAGTGGCCAGGGAGAGCAGTGACACAGATATGGTGAGCGAGCTGAGGGTCCCGTGTAAAGCTCCATGTTTTGGGGCAGGGGGAGGGTGAACCTTAAAGGAGAAACAAATAATTGGGTTAGCAATGACCATTGCTCCACCTCTCGGAGCTCAACTGCTACCAAATTATTGCTCTGCGATGAACACAACGTAATTAAGACTGTCTAGAAAGTTCTCTCGAAAAATTCTATTTGGTGCAACTGAGCTCAAATAATCACTCTAAAATACCAAAGCCGTCTAAAATGTTAAAAAGAAAAATAAATAAATTTAAGTAATGTAATTGAGCATTTTAACTTTGAACTTCCAGGCCTATCCCATGTAAACTGTGGTCTTAATAATCCTTTGATCAGACTTTTAAGATGTCTAAAATGGTTACTACATCTTATTTACAAATCCAAAACTTTCTCAGGATGGAGAACAAATAGCAGTAAAAGTGTTTCTTATAAAGTCAGATTTCAGAGCCAGCAGGTAGAGTAGTAGTTAAGGTGATGAACTCCCACAAGGGTAACCACAGCTCGAATCTCGGACCTGGTGGCTTGAAACTCATGCCAGGCATGCGTGCATGCATGCCCAAAACCTGAGAAGAGAATGGAGAAGGGAATTTCAGCATGGCCATCTCTCCAGAGGCGGGGGGATTTCTCACTTTCTGTCTGTCTGTCTCTCCAGCAAGCACATGCATCCTACAGCAAAAATCTCTCAAAAAATAAAGCAAAATTCAGGGCCGCCAGGTGGTGAGGTTGTTAAGGACATGGACTCCTATATGGCTGACAACAGCTCAAGTTTCAGACCTGGTGGCTTCACACTCATGTTGGGTGTATGTACGTGCATGCCCAAAAATCCCAGGAAGAGAATGGAGTAAAAGGGATTGAAGCGAGGCCATCTCCTTCCCCAGGGAGTTGATTTCTCAGTTTCCCTCTCACTGTCTCTCTCTGTCTCTCCAGTGAGCACCCTATGACAAAAACTTGGAACAAAAAAAGTCAGAATTCAGGAGAATTTACTACCTGGTGGTGGTAAAGTGGTCACATAACTGATGCCACAGGGAAAGGTTCCCGGTTCATGTGCTGGAACCTCTCTGACCATGCCAGGTGCATGCACGTACCCATGATCGAGGGAGTGGCATGACTCTATGGAAGCTGTATTTTGGTGACGGACTTTGACATCTCCCCGCCAGCACTATCTTTTCATCAAACTGTTGAGTGTTCATTCTCATTCCAAAGAAGTCCATCCCCGGGGTCTCCAGGTGAGCTCAAAATGTCTGATCTCTAGAGTGCTATGAACTCTGTTATTTAAGAACATAGAGTAAACTAGAATCAGCAGGTGGCGTGGTAGTTAAGGCACTGGATGCCACATGGCCAACTGCGGTTCGAGTACCAGACTTGGCAGCTTGAAAATCATGCCAGGATTTTAAGCATGTGTGCCCAAAATCCTGAGAGGAGAATGGAAAAGGGATTGCAGTGTGGCCATCCCCCCCTAAGGAGTGACTTAATCATTTTTCCTCTCTCTATCTCTCTCTCTGTTGAGCACACATCCTCTGGCAAAATAATAATAATAATAATAATAATAATAATAATAAACAAAAAAGAATATAGGGTAACCTACAGGTAAAATGACCATGTGCCTAGGATTTGTTTCAAAATGAGATAGGAGGAAGGGGAAGTGGGTCAGGGTACAGAAATCCAAAACTGGACCAAAGCTGAAAACTGCTGTAACTGGGTGAGGGTATATGGGGATCCCTGTGCAGTGCAATGTGTGACTACCCGTCGTGTTTGAGCTATTGATGTTACTGGTCTGTGAAGACGTAAGTACAGAGGTTCAGAGATGCATTCAGAAGCTTTTAGAACAATTTGAAAGAGTAATTCTATGCCTGCTAAAGCTAATAATAATATAAGGGGGACCAGGAGTTAGCGTAATGGCTATGTTGCTGGACTCCCATGTAGTCGACCGCAGTTTGAGTCCTGGACTGGTGGCTTAAACTCACACCAGGTGAATGTGTGTGTGTGCCTAAGGTCCCAAGAAGAGAATGGAGGAGAAGGGATTGCAGCGGGGCCATCCCCCAGGGCTGTCTCTCTGTCTCTTTCTGTCTTTCTAGTGAGTGCATGCGCCCTATAGCAAAATCCTCTCAAAAAAAATATATATATATCTACATATATAATGAAAACAAATTTTGTTTGTTTTTGCCATTTGATCTCCTTTTTCTAGAAATTCACTTTTTGGGAAAGTATTTGTCTATGACAGATTGTACTTTAAAATAAAAAGAAAAATTATCCCCCCACACACAGACTGGGAAGTCCTACTTTATATGGTTGTCTCTTTGAATGTGCTTATATTTTCTATAATAAAGAGTTGAGGGGGAACCTATTACTTGTTTTCAATCTCTACTTGGATATAAACTTATAACTTATGAGAAAATAATTATGGGTGTATTTTTTAAGATTTACTTAATTTTATTCACTATTATTTTTTTCTTTGTAGAGAGATTTTTGCTATAGGGCATATGTGCTTCCTGGAGAGACAGAGAGACAGAGAGACAGAAAGAGAGAAAGCGATGTTAGGGGAGATGATCATACCACAATTCCTTCTTCTTCACTCCTTTCTCAGGATTTTGGGCATGCACACACGCCTGATGTTCAAAGCCACCAGGTCCAGGACTTGAACTGCAGTTGACCATGTGGGAGTTCAACCATGTAACCATTATGCCATCTGCTGGTCCCAGTTATTATTACTATTATTATTTTAATTTGACCAGAGAGAGACAGAGAGGAAAAGTGAGAAAGCAAGCCACCAGGTCTGGACTAGGATCACAGTCTACCATGTGGGAGTCCAGAACCTTAGCCACCACGCCTTGTGCCTGCCCTAGGCCTACGGTTTTATTTTACAAGTGTAAAGGGACACTTGGAGCAGCCTCAGCTGCAGGCCGGGGTGTGGTGCAGACTCCCTTCCTGCGTGGTACACACCCACATGCAGGAGAGCTGGGGAGCAGGGGAGAAGGCGGGTACCCTGCTGCTGTGCCGAGGCTGTGTGAGTGTCTGCTGGGGGGAGGGGAGGTTTCACTTGAGCATCACACCCAGTGGAGCATTTCACTCTTTGACTAAATATTCAGTGAATTTAAACATTCACTGTCCTCTTTTCTCTCTCACAAAGGACAAATGTTAGCTCGCTGGGGGATTCTCTTTTTTAACTTATGCAAGTGAAACTGTAGGCATACACTACAAGCCCACCTGTCAGAAGTGTGACGAAATTGTGTGTTCCAGTTAGTTTACAGAAAAGAGCGGTGTGTGCACATGCAGGTACATTTTCATCTGAAATGTAGTCCAGTTCCACTTCAGCCCCCTTTCCTGATCTGGTAATAAGAGTGTCCCAGGGCCGGGCTGTTCCTCCTAAGGTCAGAAACTCCTGCGCCCCAGGGCAGCTAATACCTTCTTGTTAATCACCCCGACTCCCCGCAGAGGAGTCAAACAAACCAGCTTAGAACCCAAGCAACCGCAGGGCCGCCAGCTCTGCTTCGGGCCTCAGCTTTGTCCTAACCATGGACGTGTTTACCCGTTGAAAGGGGGGCATCTGCTTTGGAGGAAGACTAAAGAAAACGAAAATGTGCTGGGAGACTCGGCCGTTTGTCCTGGGGCACAGCAGCATGTGAGGCGTGCCTGGAGTGGGGTTGGGGGCGTCCCCTTGCAGGATCGTGGGCTACTGTTTGGGGCTTACCGTGAAATAACCACTTGAGGCAAAGAACTGCAGGGGCGCCTTCGCAGGACGCCGCCTGTAAGGGTATGAGCGCCAGGTTCCCTGTAATTAAGAAGCAGCCCGCTCCCGTGAAGACAGCGCTGCCACCCCATCTGCCACGCCCGCGGGAGCTGGCAGCGCGCCGCCCCGCCTCCGCCCTGCTACCCACCGGATCCTTGGAGACCGCCTTTGATGGAGCGTTTATGCCAAGCTTTTCCAGAGGATAGACAATCTGTCGTCGTGGTCGCACGGGAACCAAGTAATGAAGGGCAGATGTCAGCGAGTGGGCGTGGGGGTTCTGGAACTGAAAGACAGCAATCTATATTTTAGGGGAGAGAATGGCAGAGCCGCGCCGCGCAGATGCCTGCGTGAGGCTTTACAAATACAAAACTCTTAACTCGGCCAAGTCGGAGAGGGGGGAAAAATTCAGCAAATAAACAAACATACTCTTCGAGCAGAGGAATGAATTGTAGATAATGCCTGACACTAATGAAGATAATTACGAGAGTAATTACATTACTATCTCTGTGGGAACGACAGCTAAACAAGTGGTTGGGTTTATGGGATTTTTCAGTACAAGTATTTTCCCCAGGAGGATATTCTTCTCCATAGTGATCATGAATCAGCTTGATTTGACCCCATTAAGCTGTGTTATCTGAGTCCTGTTAACCTTTGCGCGTTTGGCACAAGCTGTTTTAAAAAGACACATAGATAAAAACGTTGTGAGGGGTGACTTCACACAGACGTGAAAATCCTCCTGTTTGTGAAAGTCTGCTCACAGCGACTTCAACTGGACTTTTTGTTGGTTAAATAAATGTTTTAGCACAAAAGGATAAAACCAGAAAGTGTGTGTTTGGGAGGAGTAGATCCTACTATTTTAACTTATGTGATTACTAAATTACGAGCTGGATTTTTGCTTCTTGGAATGGACCATGATGTTTTAGGAGAATGCTCAAAACATTTATTGTATCCTGTTTTTAAAACTTGGCAGAGTAAATTAAATATGGCCATCTTTATGTCTTTTATATTTATGAAATCATAGGGGTTTGGGTGAAGCCAGTCCACCTCAAGGCATTCTGACTGTTCAGATTCAGGAGTTGAACTGTGAAACTCAAACTGTTAATGATACATTTACTGAATGTAAACTAGAAAGCAAAGAAAGTAAAACTAAACCCAATATGTATTTTAATAACCAAAACCAATAACCAAATAAGATGGTGTATATGTGTGTGTGTGTGTATGTATGTATGTGTGTGCGTGTGTGTGTGTGTATGTATGTGTATATATATATATATATATCATTTGATATTCTAAAAATTGCCCCGGGAACTTCTAAGAGTATCTAAAAGGAATTTCTAAATTCATTTACCATTGACATTCATAAGTTGATTTTATAAACTGAAAAATAGTCCAGGAATCCTTAGCCAGAGCTGTTTTTAATGCCTAGAGCACCTCCTTAATATGAAGGACTTGACAACGTTCATGGAAAACGAAATAAAAATATTTGTAATTTGGTCCAAAAAATTTTTATTTTAAGGTTTGATTTTGGTTTTGTTGTTTTTCTGCTATAGGATACATGTGCTCTCTGAAGAGAAATAGAGAGAGCGAGAGAGAGAGAAGTCACTCCCCCAGGGGGTGATGGTGACACCATAATCTCTCCTCTCAGGATTGTGGGCATACATGCACATGCATCCTGCAAGACTTTCAAACTGCTGGGTCGGCAGAGTCGGCCATGTGGGATCCAGCTGTCCCAATCTCCATGCCACCTGCTGGCTCTGGTGCAACATTTTAAAATATTCATGTATGGCTTTTTCATAATAGCCACTTTCAGGAACTTTTTGAAGCCCCCCTGTATGTGTTGGGAGAGAGGGGATGGAGGACGCCCTTCCAGTCTTGACTGAGGTCAGCTGAGGTTTACAGAGAATTTGGGAGTTCTTACTCTAATCATCTGGAACTACTTCTTACACTTGTTTCAAATGTGCATGTGTAAACTGGCTGGATGTGCAGACTAAGAGGAGATCTGGTTCCAAATGTGTTTCTATGGCCCTTATACGACAGTGTGAGACATTTCCTAGTCCTTTACCATCGGGGTAAATACAAACATCCCATGAAATGCCCAAGCTATTATTGTTCTTATGGATACAAATGGACTTTCTCCAACCCAGCACATCCAGGCGACATCATGAATAAAAGCTAAGAATTTAATATCATATCCTGAAGGTCACAAAACTGGCATTTGGCCAAGTGCAAAGTGAAGGGAAATTGGGCAGGAGCGGGATTTTCCGGCAAAGCTGTTACCTTCCCATCTCATTAAGTTCAAAACTAGGGCACTCATATTGCTATCATGCTGCATTTTGATAAAAAAAAATAATAATCACTAAAGCAGAGGCTATTACATCTTGCTAAAAGTCTCTTCCATGTTTTTTTCCCCTTCTTTCTTCTCTATTCCCTCCACATTTCTCCAAAAGGTTTCAGTTAAATAAGATATCCTGGGGAAATTACCGTTATGTGTATGCACTAATCTGCCTTAGATTGTTCAATAAATAGCTTAATAAATAAGGTCATTATAAGTCTACTTAGCTCCCTTGTGGTAAGTAAGAAGAAATGGGACTATATCAAAGACTTTAGACAGAACACACGGACATTTGAGGTCAAGAATGAAATCGATGGGACAACTGCTTCCTAGTCTAGTGGCTGAATCTCATCGCCCTTCAAGTTTACATCAAGTTGAGGACCAGTGCTGTCAGTCACTGAGGGACCAACTTGCAGGAAATGACCCCTGGGGAAATCTAGCTTGAATAGGCCCAGTCTATAGAACAACCAGGGCGCTGTATATAAGAGTTGAACATGTGGCGGGGAGGGTGTGAGTGAGTGTGAGTGTAACTCTTCTAGACATTAGGAATACAGCTTTGAACAAGACAGGCAAACACCTCTGTCTTCATGGTATACTCTTAGCTAGTGAAAAGTGCTAAAACTAAAGAAAATTAAAGCAGGCTGAGGGGATATGGAAGTCAGACAAAAAGTTCACAATGTGTGTACACACATAAATGAAATCATAGGGGTTTGGGTGAAGCCAGTCCACCTCAAGGCATTCTGACTGTTCAGATTCAGGAGTTGAACTGTGAAACTCAAACTGTTAATGATACATTTACTGAATGTAAACTAGAAAGCAAAGAAAGTAAAACTAAACCCAATATGTATTTTAATAACCAAAACCAATAACCAAATAAGATGGTGTATATGTGTGTGTGTGTGTATGTATGTATGTGTGTGCGTGTGTGTGTGTGTATGTATGTGTATATATATATATATATATCATTTGATATTCTAAAAATTGCCCCGGGAACTTCTAAGAGTATCTAAAAGGAATTTCTAAATTCATTTACCATTGACATTCATAAGTTGATTTTATAAACTGAAAAATAGTCCAGGAATCCTTAGCCAGAGCTGTTTTTAATGCCTAGAGCACCTCCTTAATATGAAGGACTTGACAACGTTCATGGAAAACGAAATAAAAATATTTGTAATTTGGTCCAAAAAATTTTTATTTTAAGGTTTGATTTTGGTTTTGTTGTTTTTCTGCTATAGGATACATGTGCTCTCTGAAGAGAAATAGAGAGAGCGAGAGAGAGAGAAGTCACTCCCCCAGGGGGTGATGGTGACACCATAATCTCTCCTCTCAGGATTGTGGGCATACATGCACATGCATCCTGCAAGACTTTCAAACTGCTGGGTCGGCAGAGTCGGCCATGTGGGATCCAGCTGTCCCAATCTCCATGCCACCTGCTGGCTCTGGTGCAACATTTTAAAATATTCATGTATGGCTTTTTCATAATAGCCACTTTCAGGAACTTTTTGAAGCCCCCCTGTATGTGTTGGGAGAGAGGGGATGGAGGACGCCCTTCCAGTCTTGACTGAGGTCAGCTGAGGTTTACAGAGAATTTGGGAGTTCTTACTCTAATCATCTGGAACTACTTCTTACACTTGTTTCAAATGTGCATGTGTAAACTGGCTGGATGTGCAGACTAAGAGGAGATCTGGTTCCAAATGTGTTTCTATGGCCCTTATACGACAGTGTGAGACATTTCCTAGTCCTTTACCATCGGGGTAAATACAAACATCCCATGAAATGCCCAAGCTATTATTGTTCTTATGGATACAAATGGACTTTCTCCAACCCAGCACATCCAGGCGACATCATGAATAAAAGCTAAGAATTTAATATCATATCCTGAAGGTCACAAAACTGGCATTTGGCCAAGTGCAAAGTGAAGGGAAATTGGGCAGGAGCGGGATTTTCCGGCAAAGCTGTTACCTTCCCATCTCATTAAGTTCAAAACTAGGGCACTCATATTGCTATCATGCTGCATTTTGATAAAAAAAAATAATAATCACTAAAGCAGAGGCTATTACATCTTGCTAAAAGTCTCTTCCATGTTTTTTTCCCCTTCTTTCTTCTCTATTCCCTCCACATTTCTCCAAAAGGTTTCAGTTAAATAAGATATCCTGGGGAAATTACCGTTATGTGTATGCACTAATCTGCCTTAGATTGTTCAATAAATAGCTTAATAAATAAGGTCATTATAAGTCTACTTAGCTCCCTTGTGGTAAGTAAGAAGAAATGGGACTATATCAAAGACTTTAGACAGAACACACGGACATTTGAGGTCAAGAATGAAATCGATGGGACAACTGCTTCCTAGTCTAGTGGCTGAATCTCATCGCCCTTCAAGTTTACATCAAGTTGAGGACCAGTGCTGTCAGTCACTGAGGGACCAACTTGCAGGAAATGACCCCTGGGGAAATCTAGCTTGAATAGGCCCAGTCTATAGAACAACCAGGGCGCTGTATATAAGAGTTGAACATGTGGCGGGGAGGGTGTGAGTGAGTGTGAGTGTAACTCTTCTAGACATTAGGAATACAGCTTTGAACAAGACAGGCAAACACCTCTGTCTTCATGGTATACTCTTAGCTAGTGAAAAGTGCTAAAACTAAAGAAAATTAAAGCAGGCTGAGGGGATATGGAAGTCAGACAAAAAGTTCACAATGTGTGTACACACATAATACGGATGCATTATATCTGTGCTTATTACAACCACATCACTCTGCACGAGTCTAGGAAGGACTACACAGGGTTATAAAGGTATTTGCTACCTAAAGGTTTTACATTGGTGTCATCTATCAGCACTTTTGACCCATCACTTTATGAGGCTGGGTATGGTACTTACTTAGTCTGCCATGATACACACACCAATCTCATGAAACAGAACCGATTTAGTCCACGGATTTGTCGCTACAATTTTCTTTTCTTAGAGGACTAGGATAGGAACATTTTTGGCACTGCACTAATGTACCATACGAAATAATTGGATTTTCGTGTCTCTCAGAGTATTTTTGCATAGTTTTCGATCTCTGTTTTCTAAATATAGATAAACTAACAAATTGTTCTACTAATTATATGGCTGTGATTGTTTCTGAAATTCAAAGCCTTCTGGACTTCCACTGTAGTGTAAGAAAAGGGCCAGATTCAATATGGTCATTGGAAATTCAGATCCATGGTTTAATCAAAATCCGTAAAGACAGTATTGGATAAAATGTGGTAACAAGTTGAATGACACTGTAAACCCTGGTGAGCTGAAAATGTAAATAACAACATTCTCTTACCTTGCCTTCCCTGGATTGTGGGTAAATAGGGTAATAGAGACAGGACTTATAGCCTAAACGAAGGATCTCCTTCAGGAAGAACTTGGTGTAGTGCCGGAAAATGGGGTTCAGAGCAAAGTGGTGCAAGTGCCCGTGTTCCTCGCGCTGGTGGTGACTAAAGTAGATGAAGTCTTCAATGTTGTAATGGGATCGGATATACTCAACATCCTAGGGAAGAGAGCAAGGGTGACTTAAATGTTTTAAACAAACTGCACACATTTTATGATAAATCTCTTTTAAAAATTACTTTAAGGGAGCCAGCCAGTAGCAGTAGTCACACAATGCTTTGCAGGGGCAGATCCACACGGAAAGGGCCCAGGTTTGTGTCCTGAGGCCTCCCTGTGCATGCTAGGCACATGCACATGCCTGTGGTCCTGGCTGGTGGAGGCAGGGGTGGATCATGGCATGAAGATTCTACTTGGGAGTACCTGTCTCTCTTTCTCTCTCACTCATGGAAAAAATACATAAATTTAAAAAATCACTCGAGGTAAGAAATGTGCTTTTCTTTGCAACTATTTGCCACTTTGTCTTCATTATTAGATTTTTTTTTTAATTAGAAATTATGTTATGGGCCAGCTCTGTAGCCTACTGCTTAACTTTGCTGGATCCCACATACATGGCCGATCATGGTTCAAACCCTGGCTCTGGTGGCTTGAGAGATGCACTGATGTATGTGTGTGAATGCCCCAAATCCCAATAGAATGGAGAAATGGAGGAGGGAGGATTGTGCATGACCACGTCCCTTGGGGGGTGATCTGGGGGGGGAGAGAAATTATATTTCCTGAAAGTTACTTGTTCTGCCACTTTTCTTTGGAGGATGGCTACACAGCTATGGAATTTGTCCCCTGTACCCACAGTGGCTAATGACTCAGGGAGCCCTGAGTCTCTGCCATTGCCAAGTGACAGGGCCACAGCCCCCACCACTGCTGGGCAGCACAATGGTGAGCAGGTAGGTGGGCGATCCAGGAGAAGAGAATGGATGCACTGGGCCTCCCTGATACTCACTATTCACCTGTCAATGTGGAAGTGAGCCATCCCACAAGTCACCACCTCGATGGGTACCTGTGGCCAAGCTAGCCTACAGAGAAACCTTTGGTTGGGCCTCATCTGTAGCCGTTCCTCAAACTTCCTTTCCCCAGATGAATAACAGATTCATGCAGTAGAAGGCAATTTCAAGGACTACGTAAAAGGAAATATTGGCAGGACCAGCAGTTGGCATAATGGCTATGTCGCTGGACTCCCATGTAGTCGACTACAGTTCGAGTCTCGGACCCGGTGGCTTAAACTCACACTGGGCGTGTGTGCGTATGTGCCCAAGATCCTGAGAGGAGAACGGAGGAGAAGGGACTGTGGCGTGGCCCTCCCCCCTGGGGGCTGATTTCTCACTTTCTATCTCTCTGACTCTCTGTCTTTCTGGCAAATGTAAGCGCCCTATAGCAAAAACTTCTCAAAAAAAAAAAAAGAAAGAAAGAAAGAAAGAAAGAAAGAAAGGTTGGCTACACTGCCCTGTATCTGTGGTCTGGCTTTAGTCTCCACCTTTAGTCCCCACAACGATTGGGAACCAGGGGCTCGCTGTGCTGTGTGCTGGTCAGCCTGTCCTTCAGGCCGCAGCGCACACTCTCAGGGGCAAGGAAGAGGGGAGTAGTCCAAAAGTGAGTGTGACCCACTGATGACAGGGACAGTAAATACACCTGGGATGTAGGAAAAATCAAATCAGGCACACCCACTTCCATTTCTTGTTTTCCACAGTGAAATTGTTTAAAATCACAGTTTTGAGAAGACAGATCAGAGGATGCAAGGAACTTGACACGTTCTGTCACCAGCAAGGCTGGCACTAGCAAAGTCTGTGTCCAAGCCCCTCCAAGTCCCTTGTCTTTCCAGCTTCGGCCACAGAGTACAGAGGAAATGGGGCTCGGGGTGACTAGGCCTGTGGTGGCAGCCCAGGGCCATTCTGGCAACCTTTCAGTGCATTGACCCTGGAACGGCTTTTATGGTATGAGACTTTTCTTTAATTACCAAGGAGGCATCCCTCATTATAAAATAAAATGAGTCATAAGTTTTAGGCCGAAAAAAATCACCGAAAAACAAAAAGCAAAGAGCCAACAATGGTTATTAGCTCAAAACAGCAGATGGGCCATGTGCATCTAATTTTCCTTCCATCCCAAACCCCTTAAAATAACAAACAAATTATTTTTTTTAAATGTTGACATAATGGGGATGTAATAAAGGGGCAAAAAGTAAGGCAGCTTTACCTTAAAGGAAGTTTCTGTTTGGAAGGAAAGTACCACTAGGTTAAAATTTCTTGCCTTGTGCTACCTGGGGATCCCTGCCCATCTAGGATGTAGAGTCCATCCAAGTGCAGTTGAGCACAGGACAGAGCCAGACAATGGATGTCCCCTCCCAATCAGAGAGAGCGGGGCCTGCCAGTGACAGGAGTGACGCGATGGAGAAGCACAACTGTCCACGATGCCATGCCAACCACTCATTCTGATGTTTATTCTTTCATTCAAGACATGGACAGACTTTGAGGAAAGCTGACAAATGCAAAAGATCAGAATGGAGAAACATACAACTCACAACAAAGAAGACAGGGATTATTCAGGGAAGGAGGAAAATGTTTTAAAACTCTATACAGTCTTCCTCAGAGATATCAGAAAGGATCTTGTATACAACATAAACAAGCTGAAATCAAAAAAGAATTAAGAGAGAACCAGCAGTTAGCATAATGGCTATGTTGCTGGATTCCCATGTAGTCGACCGCAGTTCACGTCCCAGACCTGGTGGCTTAGAACTCACGCCGGGCGCGTGTGCGTGCGTGCCCAAGATCCCGAGAGGAGAATGGAGGAGAAGGGATTGCGGCATGACCATCCCCCCTGGGGGGGTGATTTCTCGCTTTCTGTCTCTATGTCTCTGTCTGTCTGTCTGGCGAGCGCACGTGCCCTATAGCGAAAAACCTTTCAAAAAAAAAAAAAAGGAATAAGAGAACAAGGAAGAGACTTGGTAGGTAAATATATGACCTCTGAAATAAAAATGCCAATAGATGACCATGGTTCTAGTCCTGGACCTGGCAGCTTGAGACTCACGCCAGGTACATGTGTGTGCGTGTCCAAAATCCCAGGAGGAGAATGGAGTAGAGGGGATTGCAGCATGGCCATCTTCCCTGGGGGGTGATTTCTTACTTTCTGTTTCTCCAGTGAGCTCATGAGTCTTATAGCAAAAATCTCTCGGAAAAAAAAAAAAAGCCAATAGAAAACCTGGACAAGAGAATAAACATGGCTGAAGACTGGATTAGAGATTCAGAAGATAAAATTAAGGAATTCTCCTAAAATGATGAGCAAATAGAAATAACCATTCCCTTCCCAATACATATGTATTAAGAGACATTGAAGGATAAATATCCATCTCAAAAGAAATTTAAAAAGAGGAGAATCAAGGAAATGGAGAAGAAATAATTAAGAAAATCATAGGAGAAAAGTCTTCCCCAAAGAGCCATAAGACAGTTCTCGGTAAAATTTCAGAATTTCAGGGATGAAAGAAAGTTTACTTCTCAAGCAAGTCAGCAAACAAATACACATTTATTTACAAAGGATCGAGAATCAGGTTGCCATCAGGTTACATGTTACCTGTGACGATGGGTCCTGGAAGGCAATGAGAGCATAACCATTAACATTTCGATGAGAAGTCGTCTGAAAGAGCGCTCGGATATGCTATCCGAAGGGTGTGTGAGTATGAGGACATTAAAACCTCTTAGGTATGTATGGACTCGGGCATCTTAGGACCCACAGCTCTCTCTCAAAGAATAACTAGAAGATACATTGAATCAGGAAGAGAAGTAAATCCAAGAAATGAGGCAGTGTCTAACACATTGAAGGAACAAAACAGCATGGACATCTAAGTGCCAAAAGCACGTTTGATAAAAATCCAACATTCATTCATAATAAGAACTTTTAGTAAGCTAGAAATAAAAGAAACCCCCTTTAACCTGATAAAGTATATCTCCCAGAGGGACCAGCAGATAGCGTAATGGTTATGTCGCTGGACTCCCACATAGTCAACTACAGTTCGAGTCCCAGACCCAGCAGCTTTAAACTCACACTGGACACGTGGGCATGCATGCCCAAAATCCCTAGAGGAGAATGGAGGAGAGGGGACTGTGATTTCTCACTTTCTGTGTGATTTCTCATTTTCTCTCCGACTCTCTAGTAAGTGCATACGCCCACTAGGAAAAAGCAAAAAGAAAAACAAAGAAACAAAAAGACCTCTCTCTGAAAAAGAAAAAAAAAGAAAGAAAGAAAGGTGTGGTAGGTTTCTGTTTTCTAAAGATCCCAAACATGGCCAGAGGATGTATTTCCCATACTGTGTGCTCCTCTGCAAAGGGACCTTGCCACGGCCTCCTCAAAAGGTAGAGTCCATTTTTCCGTCCTTTGAAACCAAGCATCGCTCTAACTATTCTGGCCAATAGTGTACATTGGAAGCAATGCTGTGTCCAAAAAGAGGATCAAATGAAAAACTCTGAGTGAATAAGAGACTTCAGAAAGGTGTTTGGATACAAGATCAAAATACAAAAATTTACAGGGTCCCATATGCCAAAATAAACTTTTACAGTTGGGAGAACAAAAAAAGAAACTACAGTGTAACAGTGTCTACTCACAATGTCAAGATAAATCATAAATGATGTAAAATGAATCATAAATGTCCAGGACTGAATCGGGTCAGGTTCTCAGCAGGA